AAATGAGAAGGAATAAAGATTAACAAAAAGTAATAACTGAAAGAGGAAAAGGGAAAAGGAAAATTTCACTATTAGTGGAGGAAGTGATTGGAGAAATAAGATTTGTTCAAGGTGTAAACAAACAAGCAAATATAAGATCAAAACAACTCAAACCCATGTAATTATACTCCACCTGTCAAACCAAGACTACATAATAAACAGATGCAGAGGAATGCAATTAAAGTGAAAGTAAAATTATATGAATACATATTGTTTAACTTATCCACATCATGAGACACACACACACACACACACACACACACACACACACACACAGTCTTGCAAAATGCAAAATAAAAAATAAAAAATAATTAGATGTGAAAAAATTTAAAAAGTTAAAATATTTTAAATAGAAAAGTAAAAAAAATAAAATATATCAAAAATTGGGGAACATAAAAGAAAAAAATAAGAAAAATATTAATGAGAAATAAAGGGCTTATTTACTGAAGTTGTCATAATGGTTGGCAGGGATAAATTTTCATTCTTTATATTTATTTATTTTTGGCTTTGTAACCCTGGGGTCAAAGGCTGGGGGTTTTTAAAGACCAATATCTTTGTGCTCCTCACCTAACTGCCAGGTGTTGTGGCTAGGAGGAAAAGCTGATCAGAGGAGATCTCATCTTCTTATCTACCAGTTTAGGGTGGGATAGTCTGGGGCATACTGACAAATTATGTATTCCTGTAGTGGGGGATGAGTGCAAAGTTCTTAATTGGAAGTTCATTAGTTGGGGTTCAGTCTTGACAGAATTGCCACAGCAGAACTTTGGAAATCTGTCTGTGTATATTTGAGAGTTGGTCCATGGCCCTGATGCTGGGGAGATGCTAGTCTCTGCAGGACATCTGGATGTCTAAAGCCTCTGGTAAAATTCACTGTTAGGACGTAGGAACTAAACCTCTACAGGCTTCACTTTCATCTCTATGAATATAAATCACCCAGTATCCACCCTGGAGTTCAGATGTTCCTCTATGGCTAACCTAGACATCTTCCCAATAACTCTATGGGGCACCAGCAACAAATGGAGTTTTTCCCTCTTTGTACCCAGAGCTTGTATGGGCCAGGTACAATTTTCTTTGTGGCTATTTCAGTCATTCTGATTCAGGAACATTCTGGGGGTCATGATAGGTGACTGCTGGCAACTTTCTTTATGAGTTCCTGATCCCCTGTCTCTGCTTTCTGTTGTGTAGAGCTTACAGGTGATTCCCGCACCAGGGATCCTGCTTCCTGCAGAACTATTGGCCACTGGGGTGAATGGTTTGGGGTGGGTGGGATAACTGAACAGTTTTCCCCATAGATTGTGTCCATTTGGACCAGACTTACCATCTAATCCACAAGTTTTCCCTCAAAGCCAAATCCTTCTTTTTTCTTTCTCTGAAAACCAAGTTGTCTTCTTTGCTTGCCTGTGTTTCCTACCACTCAGCCACTGCTACAGCTGCTAGCACCCAAGTTGGTGTGTTTCCTCACGTATTATTTCTTATATTATGGTCAAACTTAATGTATCTCTGTGGTTTCTTTCTTTTTTAGAGAGAGAGAGAGAGAGAGAGAGAGAGAGAGAGAGAGAGAGAGAATTTTTTAATATTTATTTTTTAGTTCTTGGCGGACACAACATCTTTGTTTGTATGTGGTGCTGTGGATCGAACCTGGGCCGCATGCATGCCAGGCCAGTGCGCTACCGCTTGAGCCACATCCCCAGCCCCCTTTCTGTGGTTCCTTTTAGAGTCCAGTAGTAAGTTTCAGTGAGTTCCCTTAGTTACCTACCTTGTTGAGGAGCAGTGTTCCTGGTTTGTAGGGCTGGTGCTGAGGTACTGCTACGATGAACACCCTTCCTCTAATCTGCCATCTTCACTCTTGGTTCTGTATTTTTTTTTTTTTTTAACAGTGCTGGGGCTCACACCTACAGCCTTGAGCATGCTAGGCAATCACTATACCACTGAGCTCTACATCCCCAGCCCCCTGTCCTAGAGAATTTAAAAATTCCTTTTTTTATTTTTATTTTTTTGGTGTGTATGTACCAGGGATTGAACCCAGGGGTGCTTGACTGCTGAGCCACATCCCCAGCCCTTTATTCTGTGTAATATCTTTAATTATTTATTTTTCCGTAGTGCTGAGGATCCAACCCAGGGCCTCACCTGCTAGGCAAGCGCTCTATCATTGAGCCACAACCCAAGCACCCCTCCCCCCACCCCACCCTTTTTAATACTTTTTTTTTTTTTTGTAAGACACAGGAGACCCTATTGCTTAGGGTCTCACTTAGTTGCCACGGCTGGCTTTGAACTCTCGATCCTCCTGCTTCAGCCTCCCGAGTTGCGGGGATTTTCAGGCACATACCACCCTTAAATTTAAAAGAGAATACATACTTGTTTAAAAAATAACAATGAGATACAGAAAATAATTTAAAAGTCTTGACCATCTATATGAATTGAATTAAAAAATTCAGCAATAAGAGGAATTAATTGCTGATAAACTCAATAACATGCATGAACCTCAGAAACACTGTGGAAGAGGCTAGATGCAAGATTAATTTTTGTATATCTCCCTTTACATGAAATTTGAGAAAAGGTAAATTTTAGACAGAATGATCTTCAGAGATGATGTAGCATTAGGGAGACACTAACTGAAAAGGGACACAAGTATTCTGGGGTGATGAAAACGTTCTTTATTTTTACTGAAGTGATAGTTAAATGTGTAGGCATTTAACTGAACTATACATTTAAAATGAGTGTATTTTATTGTATACAAATGATGCCATAATAAAATTGATTTAACAACACAGACGAGATTTTCAACTTTGGAAGAAACTTGGGTCAAAATATCCTGTTTCATCCAGACCACCATCTTTCCTTACCTAGATTTCGCAAAACCCTTCTGACTCTATTCTCCTATGGGAAACATGCTTCCCCCTGCAGTCTGTTCTTCACTGCATAGTCAAAGTGATGTTTCTTAAACAAAAGGTGATTGTGTTACTCCCAATATTCCCCATTCTTCTTCATATTTATCAGTCAGGGTTCAGTCACAGAAACAGAACCATAAAACTAGTGACAGGATTCTTACTGCCTTAATTTTTTTTTTTTTT